ACCGTCCCCGTTCTAATTCTCCTCCCCTCCCAGGCTTGCGGCGCCAAACAGCTGTTTGGCGCTGCAATCCTGGGAGGGAGAGAAGCAGAGCGGGGCGGCGTGCTCAGGGGAGGAAGCGGAGCAGAGGTAAGCTGGGGCGGGGAGCGGTTTCCCTGCGTGCTGCTCCCCCTCCCCCCCCGTTACTTGCTGCAGGCGGCCCTCCCCCAGCTCCCTCCGCCTAAATGCCAACGACAACCGGGGCGGCCAAAGATCCAGCCGCTGCCTAAGGACCCAAAATGCCGCCCCCCAAATGCTAGCACACTAGGCGACCTATGGGTTGCCCTGCCCCACCTAGAGGAAAGTGCCACCTCCACCCTCCTCCCAAGCGAGCCCATGAGAGCGAGCAGGTCTGGGCCTGACACACACCCTCTCATGAGCTCACTCCCCCGTGTCTTACTCACATATCGCTGCTTGATGAAGGCTTCAGATTCCCCTGCGCCGGCAGCGTGGCCTCCATGATTTCGTTAAACCGGGCATTTCCGATACTGACCGCCAGCTACGAACGAGAGGGGGAAAAACCAGCCCCATAAGCACAGGTGCTTCTGTGCCTGGGAGCCCCGTGGCTTGACTTGCCCGCCGGTTAGTAGCGGTTTGCGTCACACCCCGGAGAAAGGAGAAACGCCAAGAGAAAGAAGCTAAAGAAAAACTATAATGGATACATCCGTCCTTCACTAGAGACGGGTTGAGGCCAAGCCACATTTCAGGGCCGGATTCAGGAGAATTTGTGAGAGGACCTTGCAAGATCTTTGCCCGCTAGAACGATGGGAACCTTTGAAATCTAGTCGGAGTGTCACAGAAGAGACCGGCTCTCGAGCTGGGCTGCACGAGGCTTAGCTTTCATGGCCACGCCTGTGAATCTGGGGCTCTGATGAAGGGGACGGAGTGCTAAGGAGAAGCAGAAAAGAGGAAGGAGGAGCTGGAGGTCCCTTACGCACAGGAGCCGCTTACCAGCAGTTCGGAGGTGCTGAGAAGGTCCAGGGTCAGGGACTGTATGCGGGAGTAGTGCACCCCCAGCTCCCGGTGAATGCCTGAGCACTCAATACACGTCAGGATGCCCAGGTTGATGGAGAGCCACGTGGGATCTGCAAGAAGCAGTACAGGCCCAGTGAGCGACTGTGACAGCCCCCCGGCGGCACATCCTTCCCCGCATCCCTGCCTGACCCCTGCACTCTGGCACCTCCTGGCCCGTTGCAGGTCGGCCGCTTAGTCCTTTTCTACCCAGATGTCCGTATGGCATCACTGGAGAAATCCCTCACCTCCGGCCTTGTCCCGGGATCGCCACCCCTCCCGGCTGGCATCCAGCTTCCAACAACAGCCGGGTGTGAATGCTCACAGGCTCATGTCGTGTCCAACTAGACCACAGAGACGGCGTGTGCATCCCGGTCGGAGCCAGCCACAGGTTAAAGCCACAAGGCAAAGCGAAGCTCACAATGCCGGTGATGTGACCAGTGCCAGGCTAAGGGCACCAGGCCCATGCACGTTCCGAGGCTGCCCCTTGCAACAGCGTCCAAGTCCCCCCATCACTGACCTACCTGGGGCCCCGCAGTCACAGCATTGCTTGTTGCCTGGCATGCCCTTCACCTCGCCAATGACCAGCTTGGTGAGCTCCTGCAGGCCAGCGTCTGTCACGCCCCCGGCGGAGGCTGCACAGCCGCTCGGGTTACCCTTGAAGGCGTTGCTGAGAGCTTCATCCTTGCTGTTCTGGAGCACGGACACCCAGCTGGCCAGGGAGGGGGAAGAGGGGAGACTTCAGACAGGGACCCCACAGCGAGGGACAAGTGGAATGGAAACCGAGGGAGGGATCCCGGGAGGAAGAGAAACAAAAAGACTTTCTAGGCTAGAGAAACAGTACGGTGGGTAACAGGGCCCTGCCTCTGCGCAAAGCTCCTATCTTGAGCACAGAGGGCACCGTAATAACAAACAACAATCCTGAGCTCATATATAGCATAGTTCCTCAGCAGAGCTCAAAGCGCCTTGCAAAGCAGGACAGTATCGTTATCTGCCTTTCATACGGGGGAAACTGAGGCACAGAGCAGGGAAAGTAACTTGCCCAAGGTTACCCAGCAGGCCAGTGGCAGGGCCAGGAACAGAACCCATGTCTCCTGACTCCCAGGCCGCTGTGCTACCCACTAGACCCCGCTGCCTCCACACTGCAGAGTGAGGATGCAAGGTGCTCCCGCCCTGCAGGGGCCAAGCACAGTGTCTTCACACGTGGCGCTCACCACCTCTGTGGGCCCCAGGAGCCAGACAGCAGGCACAGGATGCAAACCTATGAAGCAGATCATCCTGCCATGGGAACGGAGGGCCCTGTATTCTGCAGTGGTGAAAGGGGGCCCCCAGACTCAGTGCAGCGTTCTGGCTCGCACATCTGTGCCCCCCTGCTCTGTGGGCAGAAGCCCGACTGCTCAATTATGTCTCAGAGCCCCAATCCTGATGCCAGCCAATGCAGAGCCTGCTGGATCTCAAATGGGCGGGGCCTGTGCCTCCACATTTGCATATGCAGAGGAGGCAGCGGTCCTGTTCTCTCCTGCAAGGCCAGTAGCCATTCCCACTCAGCGAAAGGGGAGGATGGGCGGAGAGGACGGTTGCTGTCACTTACACAACACACTCTTGTTCATCCTCAGCCTGGAAGTGGTACGTCCTGTTATCTGCAAGGAGGGGGAGAGGGGACAGGTGAAAGGGATGCTTTCAATATCTGGGACAGCCCATGATCTCTGGCCAAGTCAGAAGCACAAAGCCAGCTGCTGCAAGAGGCTGGATAATTTTAGCAGGACGATCTATGCAGCATTGTGAAATAAAGCTTTTGACTTGTACTTCTGGAGACCTGGTTCAAATCCAACCTTGGACCACAAGTGTCATGGTAGATCTCACCTCACTCCACAGGGGACATTTACACTCATTACTTAAGGATCCTATGATAGGCACCCTCCACTTGGAGGAGGCCTGGAATTAAAAAAAGGGGCAGGAGGAGGGAGAAGGGTGTCTATATCGCAGGAGGGCTGAGATGCATTGGTAGAGCTGTGGGTGAGCAGAATCATAGACTATCAGGGTTGGAAGGGACCTCAGGAGGTCATCTAGTCCAACCCCCTGCTCAAAGCAGGACCAGTCCACAACTAAATCAGAATCAGAATAGCTGGGATGTAGGTGAGGAACGAAGGCCATTTCAGAGCTGGGAGAACTTTGCACAGAGCTCAGTTACGCTAGTCCTGCCTCTAGCCCGCGATGGCCATCTCTGAGTTTGCACCCCAGTTAAAAATACACCTTCCCTGTTCTCTTTACAGGATAACTCTGAGGGGCTGCCCAGGTACTGCTCGGGGAGCGGGGGTCCTAGCCAGAGAGATCGATTTACAAGACCCAAAAACGGGGAGAGCTCAGAATTGGAGAGCAGATGCAATGTCCTATCCTGGACCTTGAGACCATGAGATACCGAGGCCCACGTTTGTAAAGATATTTAGGCGTTGCTGTGCTCAGCACCGCAAGGCCTAACTGACTTAGGAGCCTACACGCATTTTCAAAAGGGATTTAGGCACTTGGGATATTGGCTCCTAAGTCAGTCAGGCCTTGCAGTGCTGAGTGCAAGCAATGCCTAAATACTAGAGCTGTCAATGAATCGCAGTTAACTCACACGATTAACTCAAAACAATTAATCACGGTTTTAATCGCACCGTTAAACAGAATACCAATTGAAATGTATTAAATATTTTGGATGTTTTTCTACATTTTCAAATATATTGATTTCTATTACAACACAGAATGCAAAGTGTACAGTGCTCACTTTATATTATTTTTTATTACAAATATTTGCACTGTAAAAGCGATAAAAGAAATAGTAATTTTCAATTCACCTCATACAAGTACTGAAGTACAATCTCTTTATCGTGAAGGTGCAACTTACAAAGGTAGATTTTTTTTTGTTACGTAACTGCCCTCAAAAACGAAACAAAACAAAACTTTAGAGCCCACAAGTCCACTCAGTCCTACTTCTTGTTCAGCCAATCGCTCAGACAAACAAGTTTGTTTACATTTACGGGAGATAATGCTGCCTGCTTCTTGTTTACAATGTCACCCGCAAGTGAGAACAGACATTCGCCTGGGACTTTTGTAGCCGGCATTGCAAGGTATTTACGTGCCAGATATGCTAAACATTCGTATGCCCCTTCATGCTTCAGCCACCATTCCAGAAGACATGCTTCCAGGCTGAAGACACTCATTAAAAAAATAATGCGTTAATTAAATTTGTGACTGAATTCCTTGGGGGAGAATTGTATGTCTCTGGCTCTGTTTTACCTGCATTCTGCCATATTTTCATGTTATAGCAGCCTCGGGTGATGACCCAGCACATGTTTGATTTATGAACACTTTCACTGCAGCTTTGACAAAATGCAAAGAAGGTACCAATGTGAGATTTCTAAAAATAGCTACAGCACTCCACCCAAGGTTTAAGAATCTGAAGTGCCTTCCAAAATCTGAGAGGGATGAGGTGTGGAGCCTGCTTTCAGAAATCTTAAAAGAGCAACACTCTGATGCAGAAACTACAGAACCCAAATCACCAAAAAAGAAAATCAACCTCTGACTCAGAAGATGAAAATGAACATGCGTCGGTCCACACTGCTTTGGATTGTTATTGAGCAGAACCTGTCATCAGCATGGACGCAGGTCCTCTGGAATGGTGGTTGAAGCATGAAGGGACGTATCAATCTAACTCATCTGGCATGTAAATATCTTGCGACGCCAGCTAAAACTGTTCTCACTTTCAGGTGACATTGTAAACAAGAAGCAGGCAGCATTATCTCCTGCAAATGTAAACAAAACTTGTTTGTCTGAGCGATTGGCTGAACAAGAAGTAGGACCGAGTGGACTTGTAGGCTCTAAAGTTTGACATTGTTTTATTTTTGAATGCAGTTATTTTTTGTACATAATTCTACATTTGTAAGTTCAATTTTCATGATAAAGAGATTGCACTACAGTACTTGTAAGCAAGTGAACTGAAAAATCCTTTATTTATTTATTTATATTTTTTTTACAGTCAAATATCTGTAACCAGAAATAAAGTGAGCACTGTACACTTTGTGTTCTGCGTTGTAATTGAAATCAATATATTTGAAAATGTAGAAAAACATCCAAAAATATTTAAATAAATGGTGTTCTATTAGTGTTTAATCGCGCGATGAATCTTTTTAAAATCGCTTGACAGCCCTACTAAATACCTTTCCAAATCTGGAATCAGGGCGCTCTCACATTCCCCTACTCACGTGTCACAAGGTCGAAGCACTTCTTTTCCTCCGGGTGAGGTCTCACTTGGCAGGTCAGCAAGTTCAGCTTCACGGGAGGCCGGTTGATCTGGGAGAGGAGGAGAGCGGGCAGGTGAAATGGGAAGGGAAGTGAGCCAGGACTGCCAGCCGCTGTTTAGGAACACAGCCAATGTCAGGCAGGATCAGACCCAGGCTTCATCTAGTCTCCAGCAGTGACCGGCACCAGATGCAAGAACCCGACATTAGAGAGATGCGGGATCATCTATCTATCTATCATCTCTAATAGTCCAAGATGGGAGGGGCAGTACAGCCTAGTGGGAGCACACTAGTGGGACACAGGACACCCGGCTTCTGTTCCCAGCTCTGCCACTGGCCTGCTGGCTGATGCTGGAGAAGTCACTACTGCCCCCTCTCTGTTCCTCAGTTTCCCTCATATGTAGGGCAGGGATAATAAGCTCATCTACTGATGAAAAGGCATTACAGAAGAGCACGAGGTTTTCCAGCGTTCGGGCCAGCATTAACTATGCCAACTCTGGATATTCTTGTTATCTACAGAAATGCCCAGGCCCTCTTAGAATCTTGCTGAATCTTCTTTTGCAGAAGAATCCAAGCCAAGGCAGTTTTTAAGCTGCATTTTACTCCCTCTACCTCTAGAGGGCAGCCATTCTTTCTACCTGAAGGGTCTACCGATTGTCTAGTCTGGAACCTCAAGGTATCCCTTATGCTCCCTACCTAAAAAGATAATAGAAAACCTTCTCCAGCATGTTCTCTCTCTGTCTCATTTGTTTATGTAAGATGAAGTGGTTATGACGCACCCAGTTTGGGGTTGCTTTACAAATCCCAAGCCTGGGTGGGGTTTACCAAAAGTTTAATGCACCAGAGTTCTAAGCAAACCTTGGCAGAGTTATGGACTTGCATGTGGAGGATGCAGATTCAGGGGCCAGATGGACCCCTAGGAAACAAAGCAGACGACCTTTGCACAGCTCTGTATGGCATTTTGAGATAAACTGGCAGCTCCCCTTCCCGCTGAGAGACACATGAGGAGCAGGGGATGAAGAGATGCGGACTGATCCTTTAGTTTAAACTAAAAGGTTACCATCAGTAGCACATGCTCTCAGGCTGCGATTTGGATGGGTGTCCACAGACCCATTCATAGGAGGTGCAGTTCACCAAACAGGCTTGGATGGATTTAACCTACAGCTCCATACCCATAAACAATCCCTTGTTGAGACGGGTCCAGGGTAGCCTGAACCCAAGTCAATCCATCCGCCAGCACCCGGCCTTACCGTGCTGTGCGAGATGGTGAGGCAGCCATACTTCACGCCACACTTCCTCTTCTGCCACACTTTCCGGATTCTAGGTCAGGCAGAGAGAAGGGAGTGAGGGTCCACTTTGTACCCCTGATACCCAGCTTCTCCCACAGCCCTGGTGACCCCCATGGCCCCTCATCTCGCTGATGGGCTTTAGTGGGGAGTATCGCTTCCTGGGTGAACATAGCGCTTTCTTTAACTCACCCGATGGAGAAATACCCCTGCTCAAACCCTCTGACTGCCCAGTCTTCTCAGTCCACCGTCTCCTTTCGCTCCGAGTGCCTCATCCCTTCCCTTAACCCCGATGCACGCCTTCTTGCCTCAGGGCTTGAGGCATGCCCAACACCAACTGTTGGCCCATTGTGCACAGGTGAAACACTTCCTTCTCCTTGGCACAGTGCTGCTCCCATTAGGAAGCGGCTTGCTATGCCCATAGAACGGGCCTTCCTCCTTATCAAAGGGAATTTGGCGCCAGGTTGGTAACCCTGGAGACTGAAGTCCAGGAGAGATGCTTCCAGCGTAGGCTTCCTTACCAGTCCTGCGCTGCAAGGACCACATCTTGGAACAGCTCATCTCCATCAGGCGCTGGCCTCTCTGCTGAGGCTCCCAATGTGGGTAGCAATTAGTGCCAGGCTTGGGGAGCACTCGTGTGGGATGTGGGCACCTATCTGCTAGCAAATGGATGGACGGCACCGAATCATTTCAACCCTGACTCCTAATAGACATCAGCTGGCAACAGGAGGGGTCACCCCTGAGCTGGGCTACCTGCAAACCAGAGTCCTGTCCCAGGCTCCATATCTTATCAACCCACCAACCATCCAGCCCCCTCGTTCCAGTTTTTTCCCTTTCCACCCCAAAGGATCCCAGCTACAGGTATGTTCACACAGCAGCTGACCAGCGTAACTTCTAACGGGTGCACACGCACTAGCTCTGCTCAAGCAAGTGACTAACAATAGCAGCGTGGCTGTGGTGGCTGGTAGCTTGTGCTAGCTGCCCAACTCCATACCCAAGGGGTCAGGTGGGACGGTACTTTGGTAGCTCGCCCACCCCAACGGAAC